ATTTGGCTGATAAAGGTTTATAATTTTTCTTTTTTATAAAATAAGCAGTATTGTATTGTAAGATTTTTTTTTTAGAATAAAGATTATGCCAAACTACATAAAGTTATCCCAAAAAATTTAATTTGTTGAAAATGTACTCGGGCCATCCAACATGTCTATGAGGTTATTTCTTCATCAGAACAGATTGGAGAAATTTAGCTTTATATCACTTGTTCACCAATGGATCCTCTGCAGTTAATGGGTGCTGTCAAAATGAGACACAATAACCCACAAGTAATGCAAATGTAAGTAATCCGAAGTAATCTGCTGCATGTTTGTAAGAAAAAAAACCCCATCATTAATACGTTTTTAACTTCAAATCATTGTTTCCAGCTAAAATAATGTCCTTATACATAAAATTGATTTCTGAAAACGTTGTCACATCTGAATGAGTCCAAAATACTTCCAAAGTAATATATCGGTAGAGAGGAAAACGGGATGGACTTTTTCACTGGACTTTTTTTTATGGATTGTGAAGTTGTATTTTAGCAAGAAATAACTGTTTAAATTTAAAACGTCCTAATGATGGATTTGTCTATTACAAAAACAGAAGCGTTTCATTTCACAAGATGTCAATTGATGGGCTGGAGTCATGTGGATTACTTGTGAATTTTGGACTCTCATTCTGACAGCACCCACTGACTGCAGTTTTTTCTTTATGATATTAACATTTAGGACAGTTAAGCCCCATTTTAATGTTTGTATGTATTTGCAGACATAATGACAGCCACTTCTGAAGAACAGCAGTGCCTCTAAAATGAGTTTCTATGAGAAGAGAAAAGGAGCTGTTTCTGCTCAGACCAAAAGGGCAGGAACTCCTGAACCCAGCTGTGTGTCTATGAAGAGTGATGTATCTATGGGCATGCCACCTGAATTCAGTGGTGGAGCAGTGAACTCTGACCCCAAGTGAGACAACAAGATTAAATCTTACAGGGATAGTTCACCCAAAATGAAAATTTGCTGTTGATTTACTCACCCTCAGGCTATCTAAGATGTTGATGACTTTTTTCTTTAGTTGAACAGTAAAGAAGATTTTCAGCTGAAACTGTGTGGAAAACTTTGGTGATTCATAAAATGCAAATCAGCGCTGCACATTTCTGAAAAAAAAAAAGAAACACAAAATTAATATCCATGGCTCATGACGATATATTTAAGTCTTACGAAGCGAAACAATTGGTCTGCACAAGAAACTGAACATTATTTACAACATTATTACCTGTAGTTCATAGCCATTCTTTTCTGCGAACTGGTTCTTTGAGTTTGTTTTAATGGGCTGGTTCAGTTACATAATCTAGTTTGATTATGTAACGGATTCAGTTACATTCACTAGTTTTACTACACAATGACGTAATTATATACACATTATATTATTATTAAAGTGCCCAATAATGATGTGAAATGTGAATGTTTTGCATGTCTAAAGCATATAAGCCGCAGACTTGTATTTAATGAATCACCAATGACTACAGTTTCAGCTACAAATCTTATTTACTGTTCTACTGAAGAAAAAAGTCACCTTAATCTTGGATGGCCTGAGCGTGACTAAATTAACAGCAAATTTTCATTTTTGTGTGTACTATTCCTTTAATAGCCTATACAGGACAGGATGATAAACATAGGCATTTTGGTTTCTTACTAATTTTCACATTATGATCTGTTTGTAAGCAGACATGTTATCAGTTCGGCGTCCAGTATTGTGAATGCCTGTATATGTCTACCCTTGCTACGTGTGTTTTCCTTGTTCCCTGGATGTGATTAAAATCTATATGTTTAAATTCCACTCCTCATCTCCTCACTCCTTCGTCTCCGTGCTCCTCACAGTAGCGAATCGTGACAGAATACCGGACTGTGACAGTAAGCGGCGCCCCTTCTCCCCATGTTTGTTTTTCGTTTTTGAAAATTGTTTTGTTTTCCTGTTTGTTTCTCCCTTCTTTAATGGAGGAACGAGCGATGTTCATCGCCGTGGCTCAGGCGAGCCATGATCCGATCACCTACGCGAGGGCATTTGTGCCGCTTGCCCTCGCCAGCTCCCTCGATGGGGAGACCCTGGTGACGCTGTTCCGGCTCGGGATCACATATCGCCCCGCGGAACTCCCAGACACCACCAACCTCGACTGGAAGGAGGCGGTCATCCGGTGTCTGGAGAGCCTCCTAACCTGATACGGAACCCCTCCGCCAGCCGCTCCTAAGTCAAGTCCGCCGGGCGTTCCTCAGTCAAGCCTGCCGGCCGCAGCTCACTCCAGAGCTCGCTCCAGTGTGGGCTCCAGCCCCCGAATCATGCCCACGGAGGGCTCCTGTTCCCGAGTTTAGCCCAGAGAAGGTTCCATTCCCCGTGTCTAGCACAGAAAGGGCTCCAGTTCCCATGTCCAGCCCAAGGAGGGCTCCAGTCCCCAAGTCAAGCCCAGGAAGGGCCACAGTTCCCGAGTTAGGCCTACGGCGGGCCTCTAAAGACCATATTCTCTCCAAGGATTTTTTGGGGTAATATGGGTCCGTCTGTTGTGACCTGGCCGAGTGACGAGGCCAAGGCCACTGAGGCCGTCCAGCCGTGGCCTCCTGAACTATCTGCTCTGCCATGGCGCCCTGAGCTCCCTGTGCCACCATGGCACCCTGGACTGTCTGATCCGCCCTGGAGGTATTCCCCGTGTCCCATTCCTGCACCAGCCTCCAGGGTGTCAGATGCTGTTCCATGGTTTGTGTGTGTTTTGCTCCCCATGTGTTTCCATGCCCATATTTGGTCCTTCCCGTTCCTGTCCTTTGTTCCAGGTGTCCCCTTCTTAGTTCTATTGATCCCAGGTGTGTCTCGTCATCCCATCGTCATGTCATTTGTATAAATAGTGTTCCATGTTATTAGTTTGGCGTCCGGTATTGTGAATGTCAGTATATGTCTACCCTTGCTACGTCTGTTTCCTTGTTCCCTGGATGTGATTAAAATCTATATGTTTGAATTCCACTCCTCGTCTGATGGCGAGATGGCTCCAAAGCCAACAAGACGCTGTTCAGTGCCAAGTAGGGTTGTCAAAAGTATCGACTTCGGTACCAGTCAGTACTGAAATTTTAAAAAATGTGATGACACCAGCATTTTATGCTAGCATTTTGAGCGCTGTTGAGCAGATTCTTAAACACCTCTGATTGGCCATTGTGTTCTCATTCTCAACAGATATATCTGTGATTGGCTACAATGATCATCGCTTCACGCTCTTCACTGAGCGCTTACAAAGATACACACGGGATCGTTTGAAAGCCGCGTCTATCAGCAGATATATTATGAGCATATCTATATGAGCAGATATATTAGGGATCCGCTGACGGATCCGCTGATAAATGCGGCTTAGAAATGCTGGTATCATCACATTTTTAAAAAGTCGGTACTTTTGACAAACTTAGTGCCAATTTGTGGAAAAACATAGTCTTTGCATTGCCTTCCTTCTGATCCCAACTTTAGGAAATTTTATTTTTAAAGAAGATCCAGACCGCGTCAGTAAGAACTTGGTCCTTTGTTCACTTAATTTTACCGTGGATTCGGTTACAAACAAGACACAATTCGATGCAGGATTTTCAGAAAGACTGAAACTAAAAGATGATGCTGTGCTGACTATTGGATCCGATAGTAATGTCGCAACACACAAGTAACTGTTTTTATTATGTAGTCACTATTGCTTTGTCTGTTATTACAGATCGTTTGATATGCACTGAGTATTTATGCATTTTTAACCTAAATCACAGCAGCGTCCATCTATGAGCAATGTAGGCTGTCAAACATGCACAACTTTTAGCCAATCAGAAGAATCAGAATGAGCTTTATTGCTAGGTATGTTTACACATACGAGGAATTTGTTTTAGTGACAGACACTCCACAGTGCAAAAGAATGACAGTAACAAGACAGGACACAGATAATAAAAAGATTAATATCAAAATAGACAAAATAGACAATGTACAAAAAAGCAAAAACACAATATATAATATAGACAATATAGACAATTATGTATGTATCATGTCTATATTGTCAATCATGTCAGTGGGCGTTTACTTCCGAGTACAATCTGCCTTGCCTATTGAAACAGAGTGTTCCGATGAGCGGGGTCAAAACAGGACAGAAAATAGCCTATTACTTCTAAATTATGATGTAAAAACCTTGATAACATTATAAGTAGACCTCAGAGAACAGTACAAAAAAAAGTTCATGACCCCTTTAATGGGTGCCGTCAGAATGAAACAGCTGGTAAAAACATGACAATAATCCACAAGTAATATAAGTAATACAAAGTAATCCGCTGCTTGTTTGTAAGAAAAAAACCCATCAAGACATTTTTAACTTCAAACTTTCTTCCAGTTAAAATGCATGTCCTCTATCCATAAAATAGCTTTCTCCAGTGAAAACGTTGTCTCGTCTGAATCAGTTCAAAACACTTCTAAAGTAATATATTGGTAGAGAAGAAAACGGGATGGACTTTTAAAGTTAAAACGTCTTAATGATGGATTTGTTTATTACAAACACGGAGCTATTCACTTCACAAGACGTTAATTGATGGGCTGAAGTTGTGTGGATTACTTGTGAATTATTGTTATTGTGACTTTTTTTTTTACTCTTTGGACATTCTGACGGCATCAATTGACTGCAAAGGATCCAATGGTGAGCAAGTGATATAATTCTAAGTTTCACCAAATCAGTTCAGATGAAGAAACAAACTCATCTATATCTTTGATGGTCTAAAGGTGAGTACATTTAAATTTTTTGGGTGAACTATTTCTTTAAGATTTTTTTGTTGAGAATTTCTTTTAATTAGATTTTTTTTCTTTATGATATTAACATTCAGGACAGTTATGCCCCATTTTAATGTGTGTATGTATTTGCAGACATAATACCAGCCACTTCTGAAGAGCAGCAGGGCCTCTAAAATGAGTTTCTATGAGAAGAGAAAGGGAGCTGTTTCTGCTCAGACCAAAAGGGCAGGAACTCCTGAACCCAGCTGTGTGTCTATGAAGAGTGATGTATCTATGGGCATGCCACCTGAATTCAGTGGTGGAGCAGTGAACTCTGACCCCAAGTGAGACAACAAGATTAAATCTTACAGGGATAGTTCACCCAAAATGAAAATTTGCTGTTGATTTACTCACCCTCAGGCTATCTAAGATGTTGATGACTTTTTTCTTTAGTTGAACAGTAAAGAAGATTTTCAGCTGAAACTGTGTGGAAAACTTTGGTGATTCATAAAATGCAAATCAGCGCTGCACATTTCTGAAAAAAAAAAAGAAACACAAAATTAATATCCATGGCTCATGACGATATATTTAAGTCTTACGAAGCGAAACAATTGGTCTGCACAAGAAACTGAACATTATTTACAACATTATTACCTGTAGTTCATAGCCATTCTTTTCTGCGAACTGGTTCTTTGAGTTTGTTTTAATGGGCTGGTTCAGTTACATAATCTAGTTTGATTATGTAACGGATTCAGTTACATTCACTAGTTTTACTACACAATGACGTAATTATATACACATTATATTATTATTAAAGTGCCCAATAATGATGTGAAATGTGAATGTTTTGCATGTCTAAAGCATATAAGCTAAAGTGTGTAAGCCTCAGACTTGTATTTAATGAATCACCAATGACTACAGTTTCAGCTACAAATCTTATTTACTGTTCTACTGAAGAAAAAAGTCACCTTAATCTTGGATGGCCTGAGCGTGACTAAATTAACAGCAAATTTTCATTTTTGTGTGTACTATTCCTTTAATAGCCTATACAGGACAGGATGATAAACATAGGCATTTTGGTTTCTTACTAATTTTCACATTATGATCTGTTTGTAAGCAGATTCACAAAGCAACATCAGCATGGAGTTGAGTCTTAATGAAAAGTAACAATGTAATGAAAAACTTAGTACAACATTGGTTAGCAAATATGATTTAACACATCTAAGATCACTCTGCAGGTGTTTGTTCCAGGTTTTTTCCAAATGTGGAGTGTGTGAGCAGGCTCTGAGAGATCCGGTCTCAATTACCTGTAAACACAGTTTCTGCAGACAGTGTATCAGCTGCTATTGGGAAAAGTTCAGTCAATCAGAAGACTTTGACTGTCCTCAATGCAAGAAGAGATCTAGAGCATGTCCTGTTTTACAAACAGATAAAGTCTCGGGAGGATCCAGTTCTGCTCTCTCTTACACAAACCTGCAGCAGGCTTCTCTGGTGGACGATGTCCTGCAGAGAGTTAAAACGAGACACAAAACCAGCATGAGGAAAAAGTATGAGAGCTTATTTGAGGGAATCAAACTACAGGAGAATCAAACTCTCCTGAACAGGATCTACACACAGCTATGTATCATAGAGGGAGAAAGTGAAGGGGTAAATGAAGAACATGAAGTGTTACAGATGGAGAAATCACCCAGAACACTACATTCACAAGACACTCAAATCCACTGCAATGATATCTTTAAATCCTTACCTAAACAAGGATGTGAGTGGAAGAGAAGAAAGATGAATGACAAAATAAAGATTGTTCTTACTAAAGGAGTCGCTGGAATTGGAAAAACAGTCTCTGTGCAGAAGTACATTCTGGACTGGGCAGAGGGAAAAGCCAATCAGGATGTAGATTTCATGTTTGTGCTTCCATTTCGAGAGCTGAACTTGATTAAAGATGATCAGTACAGTATTCACAAACTTCTGCTTGACTTTCTTCCTGAACTTCAAGATCTGGACTCAAATATTTATGATGAGTGTAAAGTTGTGTTCATCTTCGACGGTCTGGATGAAAGCAGAATTTCACTGTGGTTTTCAGACAGTGAGATGGTTTCTGATATAAATAAGTCTTCATCAGTTGGTGTATTGATGTCAAACATCATCAGAGGAGAGCTGCTTCCCTCTGCTCACATCTGGATCACGTCCAGACCAGCAGCAGCCAATCAGATCCCTTCCAAATACATCAACCGGGTGACTGAAATTCAGGGATTCAATGACCCTCAGAAGGAGGAATATTTCATGAAGAGGATCAGTGATCAGCATCAAGCCAGAAGAATCATCTCACATATCAAAAGATCAAGAAGCCTCCACATCATGTGTCACATACCTGTCTTCTGCTGGATCTCATCCACTGTACTTCAGAACATCCTGAAACAAGATGACAGTGCAGAAATCCCTCAAACTCTGACTGAAATGTACATCCACTTTCTGCTCATTCAGATAAACATAAGGAATCAGAAGTACGATGAGCGAGATCCAGGAAAAGTGTGGCAGTCCAACAGAGATGTGATTTTGAAACTGGCTGAACTGGCTTTCAAACAGCTGAAGAAAGGCAATATCATGTTCTATGAGGAGGATCTGAAAGAGTGCGACATAGATGTCATTGACGCCTCAGTGTATTCTGGGATTTGCACAGAGATATTTAAGGAGGAATCTGTGATTCATCAGAGGAAAGTTTACTGCTTCATTCATCTGAGCTTTCAGGAGTTTCTTGCTGCTATTTATGTGTTTTATTGTTATGTAATTAACACTGTGGAGGTACTAAGGTTTTTTAATTCTCTGTATAATTTGCTCAGAGGAGCAGTAGATAAAGCCTTAGAAAGCGAGAATGGACACCTGGATCTTTTCCTCCGGTTCCTGCTGGGCATCTCACTTGACTCCAATCAGAAACTCTTACAGGATCTACTGACCAACACTCACAGCTGCTCAAGGGGCATTGAGAAAACAACTGCTTATATTAAAGACAAAATTAAACATGGACATGATCTTTCAGCTGAAAGATCCATCAATCTTTTTCTTTGTCTCTTTGAAATGAAAGACCAGACTCTGTACAGAGAGATCCAGGAGTTGCTGAAATCAGACAAACACTCAGAGAAGAAACTCTCTTCTGCACTTTGCTCAACAATCGCCTACATGTATCAGATGTCAGAAGAGGTGCTGGAGGAACTTGATCCCAAGACATTTAATACATCAGAAGAAGGTCGAAAAAAACTCTTACCAGCTGTGAAAACTTGCAGAAAAGCTCTGTGAGTGTTAAATTCTTCTTTCACTTAAGCTAATGAATGCTGCGTCTTACATTTGAACTACCTAATGCAGATGTTTGTAGATCTAATTTGAATTGTGTTTTGCTCTCTTATAGTCTTGCTGACTGTAATCTCACTGATAAATCCTGTGAAATTGTGGCCTCATCTCTACAATCATCAAACTCTTTCCTGAGAGAGCTGGACCTGAGTAACAATGACTTGCAGGATTCAGGAGTGAAGCTTCTCTCTGATGGACTGAAGAGTCCAAACTGTCAACTAGAGAAACTGAGGTTTCTAAAAAAAAATTCACAGTTCACAGATTATTAAAATAAATAAATCCAGTGTAAAAATTACACCCAAATGTCCCATATAGTTCTAGTTCTAGCAGTATGTGCAAAGATACAATTCACTTTTAATATAATCTTGTCTGATACTGTGTGTAAACTGTAAGTTATCTGACTGTTGATATGCATGTTTGTAGATTGTCTGGCTGTATGGTGACAGAGGAAGGCTGTTATTGTCTGGCCTCAGCTCTGAGTTACAACCCCTCACACCTGAGAGAGCTGGATCTCCGCTACAATCACCCTGGACACTCCGGAGTAAAGATGCTCTCTGATCGACTGAACCATCCAAACTGCAAACTGGAGATACTTAAGTATGTAGACCTAAAATCATATAATTTAGATGTGTATGTGTTATAATATATGATATAAAAGCATTCTATTTGATTATTATTTTGTTGTATTTTCCCTTGAGCAAGCATATGCAATGAATTCAGCAGCCTAATGACTACACAGACATTTTACATACAAAGTTTTTGTGCCAAGAGTTCTTTTTCCCCAAAAATTTTGATGTCTGGTAGCTTAGTCCAAAAACTGTTACCAGATATTACATCACTTTCCACAGAGTTGAAATTACATAAATTACATGATGCTTAATGCTGAAAACAAATGTATACTGTCACAAAGTATATGTTGTCAAGAATTCTCCACAAGTAAATTTCACTAAAAGATCTGGTTGGACAATAAAGAATTCAATTCAGTGCTCCTGATTTGAAAATCTTATGAATTTTAGGAATGTAATTCACCTCCCATAATGTATCTGTTTTTCCAATACCATTTTTACATGCCTTTTTCTGTACTGTTTAGTTTTGACCATGGAGAGTCCTTCAGAATCACACCAGGACTGCGGAAATGTAAGTTCTCTCGCTGACAAGCAAACTGCATGCACATTTATTTTTCAATTAATTTTTGTGATTTTATAACACACATCATTCTAAAGCAGCCATAGAATTAATAGATTTTGCATCCGCATTTAATACTATTCAACCACTTCTTTTAGCTGAACGTTTGTTGTCTGAATTTGATGTTCCTAAGGGCTTGGTGGCCTGGATTTTAGATTTTCTGACCAGAAGATCTCAAATAGTACGTGTAAATAGAGAATATTCCCAGGAGATTTATTCCTCAGTGGGTTGCCCCCAAGGTTGTATTCTCTCACCTCTTTTATTTATTTTATATACGGATAGGTGCAGAGGTCAATATCCAGGCAGACACATTATAAAATATGCCGACGATACAGTAGTGCTAAGCCTGTTAAAACAGGGTGATACAGAGCATGGGCCCATTCTGAACTATTTTTTGGATTGGTGTGAGAGTTCTTTTTGTTTTTTACAAATTAATGTTTCCAAGACTAAAGCAATGAAGATAGAATTTGATAACTCTGTTGATATCCAATCTAAAATAGTTATTGCAGGTAAAGAAGTTGAGAAGGTCAACTCATACAAGTACTTGGGTACAGTTATTGACGATAAGCTAAGCTGGTTGGAAAACACAAACCTTTTTGTATCAAAGGCATACAAATTTACTGAGGAAGATTAAGTCCTTTGATGTGGATAAATCTATTTTGATAATGTTTTATAGATCTTTTATTGAAACTGGCTTGACTTTTGCTATGATTTGTTAGTTTTATGGACTAAATGGTAAAAGTAGATCCCAGATGCAGAGAATTGTTAATCTGGGGTCAAAGATTACAGGCTCGGTACAGTTGGGGGTATCTGCTTTGTGTGAGAAAAATGTCCTTAGGAAGTCTTTGACTATCTTAGATGATACATCTCACATTTTGTACTCAGAATTTGAACTCCTACCCTCGGGCAGACGATATAGAGTGCCCAAGTGGAGGACTGTTAGTTTCTAACAGTCCTCCACTTTCTAACATCTTTTGTTTCAAATGCAGTCTTGATTTTAAACAATTATTTGAAACATAAAGATAAAGGTGTACTATGAATTTTAACATTATTTTATTATATGACAAATGGTGCACCGTTAATGCCCGGGTTTTTGTTGTTGTGGTCGTTCATTCATTCTAGCAGTTTTGTTTCAATGTCTTATAAACTTTTGTCTGTTTGTGAGGTTGATGCTGTATGAATTGCCCTGTGAAGGGACAAATAAAGATTTACTACTACTACTACATAGAAGAAGAATACAATCCCAAGCTAAGGCCAAACATGACAATATCAAGGAAAATGTCCTAAAGATCTTTAGTGATATCACTTATGTTTAATCTCCCTTCAGATGCCTGTGACCTCACATTAGATCGAAACACAGTAAACACTCATCTCATTCTATCTGAGAACAACAAAAAGGCAACATATTTGGAAGAGGAGCAGCCATATCCTGATCATCCAGAAAGATTTGAGCACTACGAGCAGGTTCTGTGTAGAGAGAGCCTGACTGGACGCTGTTACTGGGAGGCTGAATGGAGTGGCTGGAGTCATATAGCAGTCACATATCGAGGTATCAACAGGAAAGGAGGAAGCGATTGCAGGTTTGGACTCAATGAAAAGTCCTGGAGTCTGGTCTGCTCTGGTAAAAATTACTATGCCAGGCATAATAATGCAAGAACTGACATACCTGCACCCTCATTCTGTTCTAACATAATAGGAGTGTATCTAGATCAGCCAGCTGGTTCTTTGTCTTTTTACAGTGTTTCCTCTGAAACTGGCAAAATGACCCACATTTACACCTTCCACTCCACATTTACTGAGCCCCTCTGTGCAGGGTTTGGTGTTGGTGTTGACAGTGGATCTTCAGTGTGTTTATGTTAAATACAGAAGCTGTGAAGCATGTGTCAGACACTCAGACCATGGGCCAAATACAGCCTATGGAGGAAAAAATCAAACTATGAGAGTTTATCTCCAACTCTAATTAAACACACCAGAACCAGCTAATGAAGGTCTTCAGGATTACTTGAAAACTAACCGTGCATTCCATTCATCCCTATGCCCTGATCCCTTCAAAGGGTTTACCCTCTGGAGTGAGAGCTTCAAAGGGTTGAAGGGTGTAGGGGACCAAACAACTGGTGCCCTTCTGCGTCGTCATCACGTGCCCACACGGAGGCGCCGTCATCATGCAAAGAATCTGCGCAAAGGATCATGGGAGCTCAAAGTGTCCATCAGTTGTACCCTTCGAAATCCTTCATTCCTGAAGGGCCCTTTGGTTTGGAACGAACCTTCAATATGGCGGCCATGATTGCTTTCACTCCGAAGTGCCCTTCGGAGGGGGATATATCCCATTTGGAACGCACCGTAAAGTTAGGTGTGTTGGAGTTGGAGTTTGAGTTGAACTCTGCCGGACTGTGGCCCTCTAGGAGCAGAGCTTCACACCCATGTGCTAAAATATGCTTAAATTATTTATTTATTATGTTGGTGTTATATGTCCGTAAGTGACATCACATTATTAAATTTTTTTTTTAAATAGCAAATTTAAGAGTGAGTTTAATGTGCTTTTCTCCCAGTGCGTGACTTACGTATGACTGTTATATACTTATCTGTAAATAACTATGTGGATATAAATGAGAACTTCAAGCTTGTATTTCCGTTTTGCATAACGGCTGATCCTGACAGTAAGCGAGCTAAACATTGTTTAATATAAGCACGTCAAACAGAAATCACAGTATTACAAGTTACATTTAGTTATATTTAATTGCAATACCACTGTAGGAAAAAATAAGTGTTTTAAAATTACAGAGAAAAGCAATCACATAGTAGCATGTTATTATGATCAGTTAAGTGAATGTGTGTGTTCCTGAAGAACATTCTTACTCTTAAACGGTTTGTGCTCTTGATTTTTTTTCTCTTGTTCGTCATTGCGTCATTTTCATTTTGGTAATGTGTTACCTTCCCATTCTGGTTTGATATTTGAACATTTTATGGTGTTCTTATTTTCTCTTTTTGCAAATTTATGATAAAAACATTCATAGCACATCTCAAAAGTCGTGTTGCACCAGTTTTGAACTTCTACATTGTATTTTTATTTTTTAGAAAAGTATATTTTAGTACAGGGGTTCTCAACTCTGGCCCTCAAGGTCCACTTTCCTGCAGAGTTTAGCTTCAACCCTAATCAAACACACCTGAAAAAGCAAGGAAAGTGGACCTTGAGGGCCAGGGCCCTGTTTTAACCACATGAAATAAAATATAACATCATGATTAAGGAAACATGAATGTAGTTCATGTACAATGAAACGTAATATATAACTTTGGCACATAATATAATTTTTTAGGCTATAACATTACAAATGCATTTACTTTTGATCGATTTAATGGGCGTTTTAATAAATAAAACTTATTTATTTAAAACTAAATTAAGTGCATTTTGCTTAAAACAAGTAAAATTATCTGACAGTGGGGTAATTATATTCTTAAAACAAGAGCATTTTACTTACCCCACTGGCAGATAATTTTACTTGTTTTAAGCAAAATGCACTTAATTGAGTTTTTTCCCCCTGGAAACAAGACTAAATATCTTAAGTCACTTGGCTTATCTAGTAAAAGTATCTTGATTTAAGAATTTTTAGATATTTTGACTAGAAACAAGATAAAAATACCAAGTAAGATAAGCCATTTTTTGCAGTGTACAGGAGCAAACAAAGACAGCAGTATAATGCGATTTTCTTATCAAGATGCTAATGTTTTTTTCTTTAATTATCATTCTTATGTTTGTCTCAGTATTTGATTTGCTTTGACTGCTATCTGTCATACTTGCACTTAATAATGTGTTCATTGTTCAAAATGTTGCAGTAAAACACAAACACATACGCACACTGGGGCATCACTGTGCAGCTTTCCATTTCTGACACGGCCTGTCACATTGAAGAAACAAACAGCATTTACATGTTTTCAAACAGAACAGAGAAATAGTTAGTTCTGTTGGGTCTGTTTGTGACCGCCACCAAGTCATATGACACATAACAGCACCACAAAAGTCATATAACATATTTTATATAACAGCACTGTCTCCATTCACATGATCAAAAACGTAAATCTTATTGGTTGGCCAGTTTAATTCACAGTGCAATGGAAAAGAGATTAGAACACCTCTGTAAAAAAATGTGAATGTTGTTGTCTGTTTGAACAGATGCATTAACTACCATTTATTCAAATTAAAATTCATCTCGGCGTGAACAGGCCTTAAATGCAGCCCCTGCAAGCTGGTGTTTATCTGTTTACAATAGTGAGTACTCAGTACAGCAGTCATGTCTCAAAATCCAGTCAACAGCCGATGAATAGAATCAAGTCCCCGGCCTACATAATCGAGAGGTCACAAAGCAAAAGAAAAGATCTGTTGCTACTTCTGTTTTATCGTAGTTTTTTAAAAAAGTACAAAACAACCATTATATTGCCTGATCGGTGCATCTTCGTGTATTTTAATATATCTATTCAGTGTCAATAAAGAAATTTAGCATGAAATATCTACCCCAGAGGGTCTGGATACAGCTACCAAATACACTCAGAAGAAGTCCAAACGAAAGGGAAGAAACAAGCAAGAGATTGTGACTGTCTGTCAGGCAGAGCCGGAGCCTGTGAAAGCTCCCATTGACTTGAAGGTATGTCAACTCATTTTAATATCTAAAACTCTTTCATAATATATATCTGGTTTAACTAGGTGGAGAGAATTACAGAGGGATTTACTTTCGTTTATCAGGCACAAGAAAACAGCAGCTCAAGCTCAGTGAAAAAGAAGAGCAAGTTTGTGATTCTGTATGCTCGAGAGCGCCGAGATAAGCTGGCTGTTCTATTGCCTGGCCGTCAACCCTGCGAGTGTCTGGCTCAAAAACACAGACTCATCAACAACTGTCTGAGCTGCGGCTGGATAGTGTGTGAGCAAGAAGGCTCTGGCCCTTGTTTGTTCTGTGGCAGTGTGGTGAGCTTTGTCCGCTTACTAATCAGTACAGTCTGTGTTTGTGATAGACCCATATGTTGGCCAAGCTAATTATTTGGCTATTGTCTAGATGTTCCCACATGATGATTGTTAGTAGTCATTTCCAAATTAAAATACAGATAGTCATGTTAATGGAAAACCATTTTATATATATTTTTTTGTCGTTATATATATATATATATATATATATATGTGTGTGTGTGTGTGTGTGTATATATATATATTAAAATGTTATACATTTTGTAATATTTACAATATACACTTGTTCAAAAAATCGGGATCACTATTTTTAAAGAAATAGATACTTCTCATACTTTTGCTCAACAATCACTCATTAATTTGATTTCTGTTTCTGTTCATCAAAGAATCCTGAAAAAATACACTGTTTAATGTTTTCCACAAAAACTAAACATAAATATAAGTTGAAAACAGTTGTTTTAAATTATTATAATATTTCACAATGTTTTTGTTTCTGATTGAAATTTTGATCAAATAAATGCAGCCTTGGTGAACAGCAGACTCTTTTTTTTCAAAAACATAAAAGACAAATCTTATTGATCCCAAACTTTTAAACCGTAGTTTCAGTATTGACTACAGATATTTGCATTGGCCATTGAAAACCCCATACAGATCGATCACTATTCTGTACCAGGTTTAATCTTATGGACCTTGCAAATTTGATTATGAAAGTGATTGGCAACTGTTTAAGAAGCCTTTATCAACACTGTTTAACATATTTAATACATAATTCAGGTCTGTACTACAGAGGAGCAAGAGATACTGCAGCGGGACTCCAACAAAAGTCAAAAGCTCCGTAAAAAACTTATGGGAGGTAAGAAATGAGGTGGTTGTATTTGTTTTCCCCTGACTGGTAGCATTCGTGTGACAGCCTTTGTTTTCTGTGCGTCTCTAGAGGGAACCGAGCGGGAGTATCTCCCCCATCAAGAGGCCAGGATGAAAGCCGGTCTGGAAAAAGCTGTAAAACACAAAGACAAACTTCTGGAGTTTGACAAGAACAGGTCTGGCTGTTCAAATACACTGTTGTTAACCTATTGCTGTAATTGCCAGGGTTAGATTCATTTTATCCTTAGAAATGCCCATGAACCATCTGAAGTATAATGCACACAACATTTACGTTGGACTTATAGATAATTTGAACACTTTATCTTTTTTTTTTAGTGTTAAGAGAACACAAGTCTTGGATGATGAATCCGATTATTTTGCAACGGATTCCAACCAGTGGCTTTCTCCAGGTGAGAGGGAGGCATTACGCAAGCGAGAGGAGGATCTCCGGGAGCTTTGACACGCCTCCCACAAAGACCGCAAGATCACACTAGACTTTGCAAGGAGACGAGTGCTGGATGAAGGAGAGAATTTGACTCCGTACTACCAGAAGTAAGGAGCCACCTCTGTAATTTGAAAAACATTTTTTTTTGTCCAGTTCAGCTTTTGAAGTCTGCATCCTTCGAAGCATGCAATTGGGATACAGCTTGTGTGTGTGTGTGTGTATGTATATATATATATTGTAACAGGGTGAAGAATCACACGACAAGTAATCTAAATCAATACCCCGGAGGGTGGATTAATTGGGGTGATGGGTGCTAGTGAGAAAGGTCCAGGCAGGTGCTCCGGTGCCGTGAGTGCTCTTTTCCGTCTTCCCAGTGCAGAGGGTCCGTGCTGTGCTCCTGTGGGGCTGGTCGGTCACACGCTGCTTTCTGTGGGAAAAATGAGAGGGCGAGTTAGTGCTCAGTCTCATGGAGGAATCTCCCAGATGGCAGGGCTTGTGTGGCTTATGTAGCCGCCGGCTGATGAGGTGCAGCTGTGACCGATCAGCCTGTGATGATGATGGCCAGGTCCTCCTTGCTTATTTCCAGGGCGATGCTGATGAAGCTTTGGGACGCTCGTCACACTCCCCCCCTAAGTGTCGTCCTGGTCCTGTTAATGATATGAGATAGTAGGGGAGAGATAGGGGGGACCACGTCCCACCTGGAAACCCAGGTACTTCGCCTCGGAGAGGGCAAGGTGGCATTTGCGAGGGTTGGCGGTGAGTCCAGCCCTCCGGAGCTCCGAGAGCACCCTCCATAACCGGTCCAGG